GTATGAGAGGGGGCTGGGTGGGGGTGGTTGGGGTGGTGGTGGTGGTGGGTCTGAGTTAGGTGGTGTGGGGCTTGGGTGGGAGGAGCGTGTTGGTATGCAAGGTGTGTGTATGTGTGTGTGCGTGTGCGTGCGTGTGTGTGCCTGTTTGTGCGACAGATAGAGAGAGCAAGGCAAGATTGATCAAGAGGGATACAGGCAGGGCGAGGGAAAGGCAGAGCACTACACTGCTTGTGTTTGGGGGGGGGGGAGGGGGAGAGGGGAATTCATAGAGTTGGAAGAGGTGCCGATAGCGAGGCCACTTTGTCATGTTGGAGCTTGTACACGCATGCCAGGATGATCCCTGAACCCTGGGTGCCGGACCTGAAAGCATTTCACCTCACGAGTCGGACTGCGGAGTGGAACACACGCCCCTACTCACCTCTGGGCCCGCGGGTTGCCCGCACGCGCGTCCGCCGCGGCGCCCTGCCCCTGCGTGTGCGCGAGCAGCAGCGCCCCCAGCAGCGCCATCTGCGGGGGCCAGCACCGCCATACGCCAGAGGGGGTGCGGGTGAGGGAGGGCGTGCAAGGGCTAGAGGGGGTGGCAATGAGGGGCCGGGGGCAGGTGGGGGTCAGGCACGGCGGCGGTGTGACTGGGAGAGGTGGGGGGCTGGGAATGAGGTTGAGGCAGGGGCTGAGCACAACACAGGGGACGCGGCGATGCCTGCCAGACCTCGACCTGCTGCCAAGAACGAGCCTGCAACTCCGCTCCAAGAAGACCCTGCTCAGCTTAGCCCCTCAGGGATGTGGCGTTGAGATCATGTTGACGAAGCAGATGACCAGGCAACCCGCGCCCCCTTGACCGCCTGTCCTGCCCCACAACACTCGAACTCAGCCGCCAATTGCGCCGCACCCAGGAGGTCCGTGGCTGCAAATGGCCGGCAGCACGCACGCGCGCACGCACACACACACACACACACACACACACACACAACACATACAAAACGCGCACACACACACACACACACACACACACACACACACAGCCCAGGCCTCACGTGCAGGTCCCGCGGCAGCCCCGCGCCCGCCGCGGCGGCCGTGCGTGGCAGGATGCTGGAGGGGTCGTCCGCATCGTATGCATCAAACACATCCAGGGGCAGGTGCGGCACGGCCAGCGCGCCGGCGGCGGCGGCGGCTGCGACGGCGTCCTCTTCGTGGCCGGGCTGTGAGGGTGGCGGTTGGTGTGTAGGTGTTATTCTGGTGTGGGTGTGGGTGTACACCAGTGTGCAACTGAGTGGGTTGATGTCGGACAGCGAGTGTGAGTTGACTGTGTGTGTACGTGAGAGAGTATGTGTTTGTGGCGTGGGAGCGATGCGACGAGGGTGAACAAGGGGCTGGGAGGCGTTCAGCTAGCATGAGGGCACAATTGATGCAGCGAGACTTGCGAAGCTGCCAGCACAGGCGCGCGTGCCGCTGCAGCGATCATGCCACGTCAGAGCGACGGACCCATTTCAAAGCATGCGCCAGCAGGGCACGTTTGCGTGCGAGTGTGGGCGCGCCTGACGCCGGCTGGTGCAGCCGGCCGAACGACTGCGCCCACAGGAATAGGCAGACCGGCAAGGGTCCACCAGAACGCACCCGCGCCCTCGGCGCCGTCGCCCGCGGCAGTAGCCGCCGGTAGACGAGCCTCAGCAGCGCCAGCTGGCTTAGCCCTTCAGGGTTGCCGCCCAATATGATGTCAGTGCCGCGGCCCGCCATGTTGGTGGCAATGGTGACAGAGCCGGGCAGGCCAGCCTGCGCGATGATCTGGGGGAAGGGGGGGGGGGCACGGCGTTTGGTGAGGGGTGGGCGGCTGCGAGGCGGGCAGCACGAGGGGGGACGCTTCTGGTATGCGTGCGTGGGGTGTTTTGGGAGGGGGTGCTGGTCATGTCAAAAAGTGCGCTGGTGCTTGCGGTGTAAACAAGTAAAGCAGGCAGCTGCAGCCCGCGGCGCTGCACATGAACCCACAACTCACACATATGGTCCAAGGCAAGGCACGCAGCCGAGCTTACTCCAGCCGCGACCGACCGCCGCTGCGGGTCGTGCAGACCGCCGGTAGAGTCTCTGTGCGCTGCAAAGCACCGGCATCCCCTCCAGTCCAAACCCGCTGCCCCCTCCCCCAACAAAACACAGGCAGACTCCCAACGAAGGGAACCTCCGAATCTTAATGCCGACCTGCGCCTCAGTCCTGACGTTCTCCGGCTTTGCGTTGAGCAGCTGCACCTTGGACAGCTGGTCCGACCAGCCGTCCCCCAGCAGGTCGTACAGCACCTGGGAGCGTGTGGTGACGTCATTGCGACGTCATTGTGACATCAGCGCTGGATCGGGGGCGAGCCACGGACGCGTCCGGGACACCGTCAGGAGGCGCTGGGACGCCCCGCCCAGCCGCCGCGGGCAGCCCCAAGCGGGCGGGCTGGTTACGCCGGAGAGCCGGGACAATTCTGGTTTCGCAAACCGAAGCAGGCTTACTGAGGCCCTGCTGACGTCACGGCTGCAGCAAGCCTACGGGGGGCGGAGGAGCAAGTCCGCTGCAAGCCCGCCGTCCGGCCGACGGCAGGAGCCAGGGGGCGGCCGCGGCGGCGGCGCACGCACGCCCACCTGCAGCACGGTCTCGCTCTCGTTGACGCTTGTGGTGCCTATGAGCAGCGGCCGCCGCGCCTGCCAGCACCCCTTCACGATCCTCACGATCTCATAGTGCTTGTCCTGGCGGGGTGGTAGGGGGAAGACAGGGTTTAATAAAAGCGGAATTGTCAGGGCCTCAGAAGAGTGGAATATGTGGTGTGAAACTTTGCTCAGCTGTATTCATATTGTGACATTTCATAGCTGGCGTGAGAAATCCAATCATGTGGTGTTCAAGGGGAGGAGATGGTGGGGAAGCCGCACTGGAAGCCACCACGCATGGAGGGCAGCTGGCGGCACGCCGAGTGCGGAACCTCGTTGCAGCCGGATCGGATGAACACACCCAGCGTCTGTCCAGCAATTAATGCAGGCAGTCATGACAGCCAACAAAACACCATTGCCAAAAAGCATCATCTTTATTCGGGACGGGTGTTGACCCTGTTGTGACCTGGGGGTCAAAGTAGACTTTGAGGGGAAGGTCGACGCGCCTCGGGGGGCGGTTGGTGGGGATAGCGACCACCTGAGGCGTGGAGGGAGGGGGATGAGGGTTAGGGTTTTTGGGTTGCAGGCAGGGCCGCGGTTGCTAGACCGTGGCATGCCCCCGTGCATGTGACGGCGCGAAAGGTCAGCAGGGCGGGTGCGGATCGCGAAACCTCTGCATATTGCTGGATTGTGTTGCGTCGAGCTTAAGGGATTGTGAGAAATTGTGAATGGTCAACGGGGGCTCCACCTTGAGCTTGTAGCTCTCGAAAAACTCGGCGGCCGCGGCTTGGGCTGTGCCGGTCATCCCGGCCAGTTTTTTGTAGAACCCAAAGAATACCTGCGGCAATTGGATCAGGATGAGGGATTTGCAACATGTGTGTGTGTGTGTGTGTGTGTGTGTGTGTGTGTGTGTGTGTGTGTGTGTGTGTGTGTGTGCGCGCGTACTTGCGTGTGGGTGCGTGTGTGTGCGCGCGTGAATGTGTGGTATTGCATGTGTGTGTGTGCAGGCTGATGCGAGTGGATTGGCAGCTGTCGGGCAGCCGTTGTCGGCAATAGCTGTACGCGTCAAAGTTGCAGGCAGTTCGGGTCGGAGGCTGAAAGACGGCGCGGCCTTCTCGGTTCAACGACCTACTGCACTCGGCACCCGCGCATTGCGCCGCGCACGGACGCCAAGGACCGCTCATCTGCATGCACTGCGACTTTCAGGCTGGACCACCCCCATCCAACAAAACCGCACGCGCCCCGGCCCTGCACCTGCGGCGCCATGTCATTCGCCGCTTGTGCCAATTTGTAGGACCTATCGCGCTGGCCCCCCCCCTCCCCCTGCCCCGCCATCTGGCGAGCCTAAATCCTCCCTTTCTGCAGGGGCGGCCCCCGCAGCTGACGAAGCATGCCGTGATAAACCGTGATCAGCCCAGCCGCTCTGCATACTTGCACAATACATGAATTCATAATGTGGTACCAGGCAAGTGGGAGGTGTGATCGGCCGCACCTGGAACGTGATGCTGGCTGTGGCGCGGGCCTCAGGTTTGACCTCCACTGCCTCCTTCGCCTCGATGGCCTGGTGGATGCCAGCCTGATGGCACCATGCGGCACGGGTGCGGTACGATTAGGGGGGGAGGGGGCCAAAGCAGGGTACATGGGGTCGGTCTCGAGCCTCGTCTGCGGCTGATTCACCAACTGCAAAAGTGAGGCTGGGGGCGACGCAGGGGTTGAACGCCGCCGGCCGCCAAGCAGGGGCTGAATCAGCTGGGGTCCCGCTTCGACGCTGGCAGCCGTCCAGGGTGCATACCCTGGTGCTGCCGCCAGCGCCGATGCAAGAATTGCCTCGCCCCGTTGCCTGCACGGGCCGTGCCGCCGAAATCGATTCGAATCCGCATTCGAACACCCACCTGGTATCTGCTGATGGGCTTGACCCTGCCTGTTGACTCGTCCACGATGACGACCTGGCCGTCCCGCACGATGTACTGCGCGCCCGCCTTGAAGAATTGGTACGCCTGGCGGCGGCGCGCGGGGGGCAGACGGCGCGCGGGGAGCGCATGGGTGGGAGGGGCACAGGCGGACAGACGAGTGGGGAGACGGGCGGGGGCCGGCGCGGGACGACGGGCGGGCGAGGAACAGGGGGAGTCTGCCGAGCGGCGGCGGGCCAGCTGGTGCTTGAGGGAGGAGGGAGGGGCAGCAATTCCCCTCAGATCCTCTAAAGTTGACGCGTCCAGTGTGCTGGAGTTGAATGTTTGACTGCCGCGACGCCATCAACCCTAAGCCCTGAACTCAGAGCTTGACGCCGTGAGCCCCACCTTCAGCGCGGTGATGGCCATCTGGCCCCAGGGTACGGTGTCCTCCCACATGTCCATAAGTGCCGGCGGCCGCCCCTCCGCCGCGGCCGCCTGGAACTGGACCCCCTCATCCACCATCAGGCTGGATGGGGAAATTCAAAAATTCGGGATCAGGGCGTACGGAAGTCGGGCGGTCAGGAAGCCGGAGGATCAGGAACTTGCAGGGGTGCGGGAGACGAGGGGGGGGACCACGCAAAGGGACCCACGACGCCCCGGCTGGCGGCGCCCGTTCCAGCGCCTCCCGCTGCCAGGTCGCAACGCACAACTTCCCCGCGACGTCCTGGCAGCTTCCCGGCAGCTTCATCTGCCTAACTATCTGCCCGCCCCCACCTGAATATGACCAGCATGCCCTCCTGGGTGAGGCTGAGCTGGCGAGTCTTCAGATCCAGAACCAGGTAGCGGCCCTTGACGCGCGCCTCCACCTGCGAGGCAATGGTTTCCATTGTTTTATATCGCGCAACACAAGGCACGCTTGTTCCACGGCCACCAAGAGACACAGTGACATCATGTGACGTCACTTATCGCAGGATCGCATGTTCCCGCGCGACAGGCCCCAACAAGGCTTGATTGCATGGAAAATTCAGCAACACTCGTGCTTGCCCCGGGGGTTGCCCCGGGGGTTTCCCCGGGGGACGCCAGCTGTTCAAGGTTGAGAGCGCGCGCCGCGATAGATCAGACGTCCACGCCCGCCGCCGTCCAACTTTGTTTTCTCAGTCTCCTGGGATTCAGAAGCCGGACTGGCATCCCCTCGGCATGCTGGCAGCAAGGTCGGCCACGCGCGCCCAAAAACAACCAAGTTTGACCGGTCAACACCCACCTTGTCCTGCCTGAGCCCTGGGTCCGCGTCCAACACCTGGTTGATCTGGATCTCCATCCGGTCCCACAGCCGCTGCACCACCTGCGACGACAATAATACATAGATATATACAATGGAAATACATGCACCACAGCAGGCGGGCGTCGGCGGTGGGTGGGAGCGGCTGGAGGCACGGGCAGGCGATCAAAAGAGAGGAGGCTAGTGCAAGTTGAGGCTGCGTCCTCCCAAATGTGAGGCGATGCGCAGCCCAAGCACGCCCCACGTATGCGCGCCCTAGCGAGCGCAGGCCTGGCGCCCCGGGGCACAGCAAGCGGCCTGGTCCCATGCGCCTATCTGCTAAAGACACTCCAGCCTAATTTCACCCAACAGCTTGACACTTGCACGTTGCACCATCGCCCTCCTCAATCACCAAGCCGGCCAGCCTCGTATTTGACCGCACCCCATCCAGCCGCCCCGCACCAGCCGCCCCACACCAGCCGCC